ATAATATAATTTTATTATAATAACCTGGATTGAAGTATTTTATATTTGACATTATTCTATTTCATTGATATTTATTTTAGAATGTAATGGGACTATCACTAAGCGATGTGCATATAATAGGATGCTCGTTAGGAGCGCATACATCCGGCTTTGTTGGCCACTCATTTCCCGGTCAGATAGGTCGCATAACCGGCCTTGACCCAGCTTGTATGTTATTAAAATAATCTTGAATGATGTAACAAAATACAAAATAATTATAACTATAATTAAATTAATCTCTAATAAGACCCTGGATTTGCTGGCCCTGGAATAGACAAACTTAACCAAACAAGTGTGCGTATCATTTAACGTAAACTATAACTATAATTGTAACAATTGTTGATTCTAACCAGGCTCAATTCGTCGATGTCATACATTCGGATGTGTATGTAAAAGATGCTAAATACATTCAAGCAGGCTTTGGCATAGCAGAAAACTTAGGGCACATCGACTTTTGGCCTAACAATGGCGTCGGCAATGCTGACTGTATAACACCGTGTATGAGGGACCATTTTAAGAATAATGCGGCTTCTGGTAAATTCTACAACGTAATCTTAATAATCTATTTAATAAGCCAAGTTAATAATTTTTTGGTAGTGGACAATTTAAGCTTATGCGCGTCATGCAGTCACGTGATGGCCGCTAATTATTACGCGGACAGCATTAACCCCCAGAACCTAAATGGGACGGCACATCAGAACGAGAAGTATGACTCGTATAAAGAGGGTGTATGTAATGGTATATCCGTTGAAAATAATTCCACCTGTGCTATTATTGGCGAACTGGCCATACTGTCCAAACCATACAAGAATAAAACAATAACAAACCCATATTACTTAAATACTAAACCCGAATCTCCGTATTTTAAGGGTTAATTTTAAGTAACTTTTTAAACATGATTATTAGTAAATGCATTCTTAATTAAAAATTGTATTTTTATTAATAAAAATTATTTCATTATAATAAAACACTTATATAATTATAAATTGCACACACGGAATCTGTTGCTTCCAATCTACAAGTATTTACATACAACTTATATACCGTATTAAACGACATTATTTTTACCGGTAATACAATGACAAATCGAGTTCAAATATGATTTGTCTAAATAATGAAATATACCATCTACATATTATTACTCTCACTTCTAAAACTTATATTTGCACTATAAGCTACAACCACAAATGATTCATATTTAAACTTGACATAAGACAAGTATTGTATTAGAACTACCGGTAAATCAATGTCATTCTATAAGGTATATACTTTGTATGTGAACATCTGTAGATTAGAGACGACGGATTCAGTGATTGCACATATAATACATGCACATATTTCTAGTACAAAATTACATATTTGCAATTTAACAATCTGTTTTAATATCACATATTATTATTGTTTTGTTATAGTGTAATTAAACCGTGATAAAAAACAATGTAAGTAATTAACACACATTAATTTAATTAAATATTACAACATTTTATTTGTATTATACTTAAATGCAGTGTTAGACTTGTTTTATATTTATTACACAATACGAGCATAATAACCAATATGGTAAATATTATACAAATTTTTATTTGTCTAATAATTGGCTACACAAATGGCGACCAAGCAAAGGGTTACACTGACTGTACATACAATGCACAAATTGAGCCATGCACATGCTACATATCAAGCTACACAAATCAAACTAGCTGGAGCTGCACTGGCGAACAAATCTCAAACCTTAAATCGGAGTTGTTTAACAATTTGAGCAAGAGTCTAACAGATGATAAAAAGTTCATAGATGATATTATAATACGCAAAACAATGATTGAAGAATTACCAGAATATTTGTTTAGCGATCTGAAAATTAGAGAAATACAAATAAATTTTAATTGGCGGTTAAAAAATATTAACCGTCACGCATTTGCCGGTCAGGACTTTCGTAAATTTAGTTTGAAAGATTGCCCACAATTTCAATCTAAATCTGGCAACGCTACCGAAGGCACTGATATATTCGCTATAATTAAGCAATTTAAATCATTAGAAGAGTTGTATTTAAGTGATATTAATCTACAAACCGTACCAGCTGACGCGTTTACTGGTTTAGATTATTTAAAAGTAATTATATTATCAGGTGATACTATTAAAACTATAGGTGAAAGGGCGTTTTGTGGATTAAAATTGCTAAATCACCTTGCTATATCCGGAACTCACATTGATCGACTCGAAGCAAACGTATTGACATTCAATTCAAATGCACCGGAAATTAGATTAACTTTACGTCACAACGCTTTTTTAAACACCAGAAATTGTGCTAACAACTCCCTTGGTGATACCGGTACGAATATTGAGCTACATATGACAGGCTGGACTGAAAATGAAGAATGGTCGATAATTGATGAAGCAATATTCAAGCCATTTCTCACTTCACCCGGAAAACATGTTATATATGTCCATGGTCCAACTTTTAATTGTAATGATAGTAGAAATGAGTGGCTTAAGTTCAATCCAGTTTTAATGAGCAAGATATATGTTTCAAAATGGAACGATTATGATAAGCCAATTCAATGCTCTTAAATGTTTTACAATCAAAAACTGTATTATTATTAAATGTTATTTAATAAACAAAGTTTTACTTTTGCAATTATGTTTAAATTTTACTTTTTAATAAAACACCATTTACTTTCTTATAAGCCTTGGAGTAATATATTAATTACAATAATCTATTTATAATTTAGCTTAAACATGTCTCTACTAATAAACAAATGATAATATGTACCAAATAAATGTCTATCACTTTTTTAAGTTATAGATTTCATATAAAAATAACTATTCGCAGTCAAAATGATTGCTCCAAAAGTCAATTATTATAATTTTGGTGTGATGTGAGTCATCAAAGTTAATCTAGTTAAAAGTATTTTACAAAAATGTCCTGGGACAAAAACGCCGTTTACCTGTCAATATTAAGGACTAATGATAAATACAATTACGTGCCTCACGTGCAACAGCTCCGGGACATTGAGCTGCAAAGGGAACGGGAGGCCCGAACCCGACGGCTCGAGCAGCGGAATAGACTGGAGGACATCCGGCGCCGGGAGGCCGAGTACAAGCAGGCCAGTCAGCAAGAGCATATTAGAAATATGAAGCATGCTAGATATGACAACGATTGTGTTGGTAGACAACTGGAGGCCCTAAATAAACGCCTGGACAATATGGGCACCCGATTAGCAAATTTGCCCCGACTTTGCGAGACCAGGCTCACCGATATGTCCATGCGCATCTAACGTGGTTATATTTAACCTAATTTGTTTATTTTAAATTATTTATTATATTAATCATTTAACCATTTTATTTCTTAAGTAATTAATTTGATGTCAAAAATATTTGTATTATAAATATTAATTTAGTATTTATTAATGTTGTAATTTATATGTTAAAAATGAATAAATGATAAAAATATAACAAGTTTTTAAATTTTTAGATTCTTGTACTAGTTAGCGAAATTATTAATTTCAAGACAAATATTATTTGAGAATCACTAATCTGTTCGAGGCACAGTGCCTCGCTAGAAAGTGCCTCGCTAGGCATTTTCCACTAATTTGCCAATATTAAAATTTTTAAATCTACACATTTATTTGATTTTGTAATGATGCAATTATATTTGTATAAAAAAAATTTAAATCTAAATTTTTAGTTTAATAAAAATTTTTAAATATTTTTATTTTACAAATTTTATTACAAATATAATTGCATCATTACAAAATCAAATAAATGTGTATATTTAAAAATTTTAATATTTGCAAATTAGTGGAAAATGCCTAGCGAGGCACTTTCTAGCGAGGCACTTGCCGCGCGGCAGATTAGTGATTCTCTATTATTTCTGTTATTCAATTTTAAAATATAATTTTGATAATCAAGCATAAACCATGCTACAAACCATTTATATAAAAATGTAAACTTAAATTTTAATAGTTATTATGTTTACAGTTTTCAATAAATAATAATTTATAATATAAAAATATATTATAAAAATAAATTATATTGGTTTTTTGCTGCACCGACCGCTCCTATGAGAGATTAACATTATGGCACTCGATATAAGGAAAATTTGATTTAAGCAAAACTCGATATAAGAGACATATTTTACTGCACGCACAGCACTGCTGTACTCTATATAAGCAAATTTTATTTTAAAACAGTACATAAAAACGGGTTTTGTACAAAAGTATTGATTACAACCGTAAATTAAAACACGTTTTGTATAAAAGTGTTGATTATTTTTTATAAAAACACATTTTCCCTTAAAAATGGCTGACATATAGTCTCGAAATAGTGTTACATTAGAGACTAAATATAAAGTGATTAAATTAGTCGACAAAAAGTGTCCAAAATTAAACAATTTAGTGCTGAAAGACTCATGATATCAAACATTTACATGTTTTATGCCCAAAGAGATGCCATTATTAAAAATTTTGAGACATCAAAGTCATCAGATGTATATAATTTTTAGGAAATTTAAGTCAAACACTAATGGCTCTGGTATGAGTTTTGAATTAATTAATAAATTTGAGGATGAAATCGACAATAGTAGACAAAAGTGTTTAAAACAGACAAAAATTATTGATAATATGAATTAAATATTACTTTATCTAATAAAACACGAATTTAAGCCTATATTTGATGTTTTTAGGTAAATTTATATGAGACTCGATATAAGGAGAATTCGATTTAAGAGACACATTTCTGTTTCACCGATCATTTCCTTAAATCGAGGATAAGGTGTATTACCATTGCTATATTATAGCACTTAATAGAAAAATGAATGTTATTTAATCATTTGTATTGCAAATATTTGAATAATTACTAAAATTATCTCGGGAGGACGGTGCCAGAAATGGTCCAGGGGAGGACTGTCCTCCCGGGGGGAGGACGTTTGGTCACCCTAAATACAATTGTGTTTTATGATACAATTGGAAAGTTTTATTTTAGTAAAATACCGTAATCTATATTTTACCTGGTTCAAAGATTAAATTAATTACATGTTACATAATTATTATGTGTATGAATACTGTTTGCAATCATAGATTTCGCACTGAAGATTCCTGGAAGGGAATAATCATGAAAGTGGGCACAAACTTAATGTATGATCCAAAAGCATTCAACCACACCATCGCAAAAGTGATCGTGCACGATCAGTGGGACACCGTCGAACAGGCCAACGACATTGCCCTGGTCAGATTGAAACTCAAACTTACATTCCTCACTAAAGGGCTACAGTACACCATAAACAGCGTGTGTCTGCCCAAAAAAGACTTTGAAGTGGCCGTGAGCACCACGGTGACCCTGTCCGGTTTTGGTCAGTTGGGTGAGCACGAGTCTAAGCCAGATTATTTGCAAAAATTGGACATGCCCATTTTTGATCACGAAACATGTATTAAAAATTACGACGAGCACGTGAAGCTTAATGATATGAAATTGTGCGCTGGTGGTATTGGTGGTCATGATTCGTGTATGGTAAGTATGTAGTTTTTATACAATTTTAATTGTAATTAAATCTTTAAATCTAGATTTAATTTAGAATAGCGTTATTATATTTTTGTTATTAAAACTGATCATTAATTTAATATGGCAATTTATAACACAGGGCGATTCTGGCGGACCGCTTATATATAACATTGAGGGCCGAATGCATGTGATAGGTGTGGTGTCCTTTGGTTTACCATGTGCTCAAAAAGACTATCCGGGTGTATATACAAAGGTGTCAAAGTATTACGATTGGGTGCTTAAATATGCACAAGATTAAACGTCAGCTATTGTTTTAATATTTTAATTGTAATTCCAGACTAATTACTATTAGCTTTTAAATAATAAAATTAAATAAATTTTTAATTTAATATTTTTGTGAGAAAGAAGAGAGAACTAAAATTATAATATAATTTATTTTTATAATATATTTTTATATTATAAATTATTATTTATTGAAAACTGTAAACATAATAACTATTAAAATTTAAGTTTACATTTTTATATAAATGGTTTGTAGCATGGTTTATGCTTAATTATCAAAATTATATTTTAAAATTGAATAACAGAAATAATATTTGTCTTGAAATTAATAATTTCGCTAACTAGTACAAGAATCTAAAAATTTAAAAACTTGTTATATTTTAATCATTTATTCATTTTTAACATATAAATTACAACATTAATAAATACTAAATTAATATTTATAATACAAATATTTTTGACATCAAATTAATTTCTTAAGAAATAAAATGGTTAAATGATTAATATAATAAATAATTTAAAATAAACAAATTAGGTTAAATATAACCACGTTAGATGCGCATGGACATATCGGTGAGCCTGGTCTCGCAAAGTCGGGGCAA